TTTCCTTTTATCCAATCTGATGGATGTGATAGGATTGGTGGCTAAGTAAACATTAGTAAACTTCTTAACCCCTCTGAGTCTCTATTTTCTCATCTGTTAAATGGATATAATAATATTTATCTCACAGTTTATTGCCAGTATTGAGTTTAAAAATATAGAATTACAGGGTACTTAGTAGTGGCTCTGTGGTTAAGAGCTTGGCTGCTAACCAAAAAAGGTTGGGAGTTTGAATCCACTGTGGGGCAGTTCTACTCTGTCCTATAGCATCGCTATGAGTAGGAATCAACTCGTCCTCAATTTTTTTTTTTAAGTATACAGTAGGTCCCTGGGTGGCACAAAGACTTTGCACTTGATTACTAACCTAAAGGTTGGCAGTTCAAACCCACCCATCGGCACCAGATGGAAGAAAGGCTTGGTGATCTGCTCTCTTTATGATTCCAAAATCAAACCGAATTCACTGCCATCAAGTCGATTCCAACTCATAGCGACCCTATACAACAGAGTAGAACTACCCCATAGGACCTCCGAGGCTGTAAATCTTACAGAAGCAAACTGCCACTTCTTACTCCCTTGGAGCAGCTCCCGGGTTTGGTCAGCAGCTGAGTGCTTAACCACTGCACCACCAGGATTCTTTCCTCAAAGATTACAACCAAGAAAATCCTATGGAGTAGTTCTACTCTGCATCACATGGGGTCCCCATGAGTTGGCATCGACTCGATGGCAAAGGATTTGGTTTATAGCATAAAATCCACACATATTTGTTCTCTTCCTCCTATTTGCTTCCCAAGCATTTAGCAAAGTTTCTTACACGCCGTAGGTGTTCAATGTATAGAAACAAATAAAATGACATAAAGGTTATATTCAGTGTCATTACTGGAAAAATGTGCTCATGTTCATGGAACAAAATAACAAAAAGGCAAAGAGCAAACTTTGGTGTCAGACAAACCTGAGTCAAATCATAGTGATCTTCAGTGTTGGTAATTATTATCAATGTTAATAAAACATTTATGATATTTCAATCAGACACAAAGAATGGCTATCCAAAAACCCTTAGGAATTTTAATTACATACCACTCTCTTCTTAATCCTTATCTGCCCATAAGGACCATTATTATAAAATAAAGAGTTTAATATCTTAATCTATGTCATATGCACCAACATTTATGTATATTAAATTTAGATACAGAGGAATAGCTTTAGGAAATAAAATACAGAAAAGCAGAATGTCTTGTCAGATCGATAAAGCAGATACTAGCTGAGAAACCCATTTTATTTTCTTAAAGAAAATTTTCCAGAGGAAGGGCTATTAAAACTTTCTAGGTTGAAAGTAGTATTTGCTCTAGTTTTTGTTTTTACTTTGAGCATATAACTAAAAATGCAAAGTACATAAAACATGGGCCAGTGTTTAAATTTAAGTAAAAATTGGAATGCTTTTAAGTATGTATAAGAATTATTTTGTAGTGTAGTAGTATTGAGAATTAGTGGCTCAAATAAAGATCTATAATTAGTATTTCTTTTTAAAAGTTTGTTTGAATATCTACCACACATCTGTCAATTTTTCAAACTGTGGTGGCTTGGGTGTTGCAGTGATGCTGGAAGCTATGCCACCGGTATTTCAAATACCATCAGGGTCACCCATGGTGACAGGTTTCAGTGGAGCTTCCAGACTAAGACAGACTAGGAAGAAAGGCCTGGTGATATACCTCTGGAAATTAGACAACGAAAACCTTACGGATCACAATAGAACATTGTCCAACTCACTTGCTTTGGGCACGTCATCAGGAGGGACCAATCAGTAGAGGTGGACATTGTGTTTGGTGAAGGAGAGGGCCAGTGAGGGTGAGGGAGACCCTCAGTGACAGGGACTGATGCAACAGCCACAACAATGGACTCAGACATGCCGGCGATCCTGAGGATGACATACGATCTGACAAAGGGTCATTATGTTGTACGTGGGGTTGCCAGGAGTCAAAGCAGGCTCAATAGTAGCTAACAACAACGTGTTGAGTATTATCTGTGCTCACTTGTGAGGAAGAGAGAGAAGTAAGCAGAGTGGGAAGCTACTGAGGCCTGTGGTGTGTTTGTAGTAGTTGTGGGCATTTCATTTTTCTCCAGAAGTTGTCTGCAGCTCGGGAGATGGCAGCTCCCAGTGGAGTGGCAGTCTGTAGTCCATCTCCCAGGGTAGGGACGAGGTCGGCATTCGGGTCCGAATTAAGCTTGGCTTGCAGGGCAGGCACAGGGGAATAGTGGCCTCATTCAGGATCAAAGACCAAACAGAAAGGCCAGGGCTCTGCTGGAGAGAATTTTAATGCCCGTCACTAGTCCCCTCTAGTGGAACTTTCCTATGAGCTCTCCTTTCCTCCCATATTCCACACTCAGGCTCAGAGGGACTTCCAGCTCTCTCATTAGACACACTTATTTGAGAAAATATGCAAAATGCCCAGGGCATTCGGAGAGGTAGCCTGAGATTCAGGACAGGAGTGCGAATGTTAGTGGGGCTGGAGGAAAGAATAGGAATGGGGCAACAGTGGGAGGTCTGAGCATTAACTCAAGGTGAAATGGGGGGAAAGGGCAAGTGAGAAAAAAGGAAATCTGAGATATCCAGACAGAAGGAAGAGAGGAAGAGGAACAGGGAAGTTGGTGGATGAGCAAAGGGTGAGCAGGGAGCAAGAGGCCAGGAACCAACAGGGTTGAAGGACTGAAGAACATGCATACCAGGCTCAGGCTCTCCTTCTCTCTGCTGTCCACAGCCCAGCTAGGACTCATGCAGACAAAGCCTTGCTCCAGACTAGAAAAAGGCACTCTCTCTAGTCTTCCTAGTTAGAGAGAAGGCATTCCTTCTGGCCAGAATAGGGCCCATAAACTGCGCTTGGGGAGCAGGACATGGATGGTGTCATGGATTGAATTATGTCCCCCAAAAAATGTGTGTATCAGTTTGGCTGGGCCATGATTCCCAGTATTGTGTGGTTGTCTTCCATTTTGTGAATGTAATTTTATGTTAAAGAGGATTAGGGTGGGATTGTAAAGGGAGTTTGCCTAGGGTGTGGCCTGCACCACCTTTTATCTTACGAGAGATAAAAGGAAAGGGAAGCAAACAGAGAATTGGGGACCTCATACCACCAAGAAAGAAGCACCTGGAGGAAAGCGAGTCCTTTGGACCTAGGGTTCCTGTGCAGAGAAACTCCTAGTCCAGGAGAAGATTGAGAGAAGGACCTTCCTCCAGAGCCAACAGGGACAGAAAACCTTCCCCTGGAGCTGACCCCCTGAATTTGAGCTTCTAGACTACTAGACTGTGAGAAAATAAATTTCTCTTTGTTAAAGCCATCCCCTTGTGGTATTTCTGTTATAGCAGCACTAGATAACTAAGACAGGTGGGATTGAAGACCCCACTTGCATCTCATCCGGTGCCTGTGTGCAGTGCAAGCTTCTTCTCAGTCCTGTGGGATGGCTCTGCCTCCTCCCCAGACAGGAGGGTATTACTCAGACTGTGTTATTGGAGCCACACTGCTGGGCAGGGGCAGAGCTGCCAGGATGGCTGAGTGTCATCCTCCAAGGGTTTTCCTTCTAAGCCCTTCCTCTAACAAGATGTGTGTTATGGATTGAATTGTGTCCCCTCAAAATGTGTGTCAACTTGGGTAGGCCATGATCCCCAGAACTATGTGATTGCCCACCATTTTGTCATCTGTTGTGATTTTCCTATATGTTGTAAATTCTATCTCTCTGATATTAATGAGGTAGGACTCAACCTACAAGATTAGGTTGTATATTAAGTCAATCTCTTTTGAGACATAAAAGACAGAAACAAGCAGAAAGATAGGGGGACCTCATGCCACCAGAATGAAAAATCAGGAGGGGATCGTGTCCTTTGGGTCTGTGGTCTCTGCACTGAGAAAATCCTATACCAGGGGAAGATTGATGGCAAGGACCTTTCCCCAGAACTGACACAGAGAGAAAGCCTTTCCCTAGAGATGGCACCCAGAATTCAAACTTCTGGCCTCCTAGAACGTCAAAGAATAAATTTCTGTTTGTTAAAGCCATCTGCTTGTGGTATTTCTGTTAGAGCAGCCTAGATAACTAAGACAATGTGAAATTCCTACAACAACATTACCAAACAGCCTGTCCTGGAATTATTAAGGACTCCAGAGTTGAGGAGGTAACCTCTTACTTTCTTGATTCTGCCAACAGAGAAAATCTACTAAAAGGAACTCATACCGTTGGATGAGGGAGTGACAGACTCAAGAAGAATGATGAAGCATGAAGTCCAAGTCTGGAAGGAGTCTGAACAGAAAGAGTTGTTTTAAGCAGCTGTGAAACACAGATGCTCTCTCTAGAATTAGTCATTTACTTCTTATTTGCCCTGTCCCCATACCCACCACAAAGGTAAGAGGTTTATTAAGTAACACCTCTGAAGTTTAATAAAAGGAAACTTCTACCTAAGACCTATCCCCAAATGTTTTCACCTTCTCCATCCCACCAGGATTTTCCAGATGAGAAGCACTCCAACTCCCATGTCACCACTCTAGGTTGGTTCTGCAATAAAGTGTAAACAACAAGCACATGCCCATAATAGCAATGGGCCAGGATAATAAGACACAATCAGGAAAAGACGGCCTTAGGGCATTTCTAAGTACATATGGTCACCTGGTCAGGAAATAGCAGAATGTTCTAGAGTGGCCCTAGCAATGACTGATGAAGGTACTGAGTGATCGCTCTGCTGGCAATGCTCTGACTGTGGACTTAGCCCACCGCTTCTCTCCAGCCTCCTACCTCATTGGGAAATACAAGTTCAGAGGTGGTGCTTAGCTAATTAATTGGGCAAATAGACTACTACACAAATGTGTACACCTTCCCTCTAATTCCTCCCACATCACCAGACTGTGCTTCTTGAATTCATCTGTGGCCACAAGCAGAAACTAAGGCTGTGAGATTTTAGTGAGCAGAGAGTGGGTCTCCTTTTACCTGCCATGTCTACTTACAAGTCCTGAGTGGGATTTGTGCACATGATTTGATTTTTGCAGTGATGATAATGACAAGAGGGAACTTAGGACTTCCAGGATATGGAATAATCCATAAGGAGGACCTTTTCACCTGAAACTGACTAGAACACCTAGTCTTTGAGAAATTGACAGCAGCATTTTACCCCATCTCCAAGGGCCTCTTTGACTTTGTCATTCCAGAGGGTGAAGATGAAAGGGCTCAGGAAAGGGGTCACCACGGAAATCAGTAGGGAAACGACCTTGTTGTACTCAGCTGCCTGGGTTTGCTTGGGTTTCACGTAGAGGAAGAAGCAGGTGTCGCAGCCAATGACGACAAAGGTGAAGTGGGAGGCACAGGTGGAGAAGGCTTTCCTCCGACCAGAGGCTGTGAGGATCTTGAGGATGGTGGAGATGATGTAGGTGTAGGAGACAATTGTAGGGATCAAAGAGCCAACGATAATGAAAACAGCCATTAAGAAGAGGATGAACTCTGTGAACAGAGTGTCATCACAGGATAGTTTGAGCAACTACCCTCTGTCACAGAAAAAATGGTCTAACCCGTTGGATTTGCAGAAGGTAAACTGAAACATGATATAGACAGGCCAGATTTCAGAAAGGAACGCAAACACCCACGATGCAATCACTACCCAGGTGCAGGTGGGGCTGTTCATGATTACGTTGTATCTCAAAGGAACATAACGGTCCACAGCCATGGCGCCCAGTAATGCAAACTCTGTGGTTCCCAAAGTGAGGTATAAGATGAGCTGAGTAACACAGGTAGTCAGCGATATTGTCTGCATCCCAGGGAGCAGCAGCCCCCATAGCATCATGGGAACAACAGTGGTTGTGGTCAGGGTCTCCAGGACAGAAAGGTGGCCAAGGAAGAAGTACATGGGGGAGTGCAGACGTTTATTAACACAGACAATCGTGATGATGACCGAGTTTCCCATTACTATCACTGAGTAGAAGAAGAAGAATATAGTAAAAAGGATATAGTGTAGTTTTGGGGACCCACGGAAGCCCAGAAAGCAGAATTTGGTGGCACTAGAAAGATTCCCCAGCATTTTGTCCTTATTCTGCTCCTTGTGAAACCTAGAGATCAAAGAGAGGTGGCATTACTCCACATGGTTCTGCTCTCAAGGGGGGGGAAGACAGGTTAGGGTGAGGAACTATTTCCAACCTTAGGTGAGATGCCCTCACTACCAAGGACATAGCAGTAACTGTTGCTGTCAAGTTGACTCCGACTCCTGGCAACCTCATGAGTGTCAGAGTAGAACTGTGCTCCATAGGGTTTTCAATGGCTGATTTTTTGGAAGTCGATCACCAGGCTTTTCTTCCAAGGCACCTCTGGGTGGACTCCAACCCCCAAACTTTCCACTCACAACTGAATGTGTAAACCATTTGTACCGCCCAGGGCCTCCACCATGTACATTGCCTGGGCTAAATGTTAAGCCACCTCCCGTCTATAAATGTGATTCTTGCTTCCCCGGGAGTGAGCTCCCGGAACAGGTGAACACACCTTCCTCTCTGTTGGTGTAAGGAACACCTTCCAGTCTTTTTCTCTAGTGAATATGCCTTCTGCGGGCAGGGGCTAAGACCTTGAAACAGGTCAGTTTTGAAGCTGAGTTAATCAGCCCCCTCTGGTCCTGAGGTGTCCTACTTCCTCTTAGAATGGTAGTATGGAGTCCGTCTCTTCACCATATGACGTAATCACCTTCAAATGTCATTATGATGATGATGTTCTAAGGACAGAACTTTGAATACCAGCCATCCTCCATACTGCAGAGATTCACCCTGGGACCAGGATAAAAGAGCAGGGGGTCCAAGACCAACATCCAGATTTCAAAACCACCACATTTCAGGGAAGCAAGGCCTCCAAATGGATTTGATGTCCCAGCTTTGCCCTGGTATTAATCCCACAGAAAAGCTTGGGACCATTTCCCGGAGAAGACACTTTCTTCTCTGACTCCATTTTCCCTCCAAAATCCTGGGATGAAGGAAAGATGCCACCCGGATAGACAAGTGATGCATCTGAGGCCACACCTGGGTCTCTAACCTTGGCTTCCTCCAGCCCATCCTCACTCAAGCACCACCTCTTCAGGGGACCCTTCCTAATCACCTACCCAGAATATGGAAGACACACTCGGGACTTAGGTAGTCTTCTTGATAGCACTGATTACTATTACTTGGTATTTTATTATATGCTTAATTGCTTATTGCATTCCTTCATTTAATACTAAACAAATGTATCTGTGAATAAAACAAACAAAAATCCCTGAGCTATGGAGCTTATCTTCAAGGAGGAGATGGAAGCTTGACCACACACAAGATAGGTAAGAAAAATATATAAAGTGCTAGTATGTTAATTTTGCCATAAGAAAATAAATAAATAAGGAAAGGAAGACGGATAGGAAATTTTATTTTACTTATTTATTTCCATCTATGACATTAGAATATAAAGTCCATGAGGTTAGATGCATTGATGGATGGATAAATAGATTGATGAATGAATGGATAGATGAATGGATGGATGGATCATTGACTAGTACTTGGTCTTGGCCAAGGTCAATTCTGCCATATCCCCTTGATCCTACTTTTCTTGGTTTCCCTTCTTGCCTCAACAAGTCATAACCCTGCCTATGTACAGTCTCTCTCACTGTGGCCATTTTACTGATGGACAAACAGGCTTCAAGGACAGAATTATTGGGAGAACACTGTGGTCTGCTTTTCCACAATTTGTGCATAACAAAGACTAGATGAAAAAAAAAACAAGAGAGAAGGGTCCTGAGGAAGGGCAGAGAGCTGTGTGTATGCTAGTAGTACAGAGAAGGGCTCATCTGCCTTCTGCTGAGTAGGAGGGACTCAGAGATCTACTGTCCTCTCTCCAGCTCCCCGAATCTCTCCTCAGGCTCCCATTGTCCTCATTCATAAAGCACCCAAGCCCAGACCCTCCCAAGCTGATGCTCTCCTCCCTCCCTCTGTGATAGACACTCACCTCTGTGTGGGGCTTCCCTGCCCCTTCCTATGATCTCCAGGGCTCAGCTGAGGCCACCTCCTGTCAGGCTGGAGCTGGGCTATTTGCAGGGGCAGAGGTCAAGAAGGAAACTGTCCTCACAGAGGAGCTTACGAAAAAGTCCAGAAATACCAGTGCCGTGGGGAGCTGAGAGTCTGTTCCCTGAGGGCTTTGTCACTGTGGTGTGTGTTCTTAAAAAGCTTAGGTTTGGGGAGTCCCTGAGCAATCAGTCTGGGAAGAGCAGAATAAACTTTTAGTTATTCCCATCTTTGGCCAATTAAGTTTGAAAACTTTTGAAAGTTTTCGTTTAATGGGAAAACTTGAAATCCTACCAGTTTCTCAGCAGTAGGCTGCCTTCCCCCAAGGCCGCAAGTCTCAGTTACCAGGAGACATCTCAGACTCTAAGGAGCTCACCCCTTACGTCCTTTATTCAGCCCCCACCCCACCCCAAAGCTTCTCTTAGCCATTCAGAGCCCAAACCACTCACTCACCTCCCTAACAGGAGACACCACAATTGGCCTCTAAAACTTGTACCAAAATCTCAAGAAGCCTGCATATTGGTCTCAGTCAAGAAGTTAACATTCACTGATAATTAAAAACTCTGAGAAAACTAGGAAAGGAAAGAAATTTCCTCAAACAGATAAATGGCATCTATAAAAAACTTAGAGCTAATATCAAATGTATTGATGGAAGACTTAACGCATTCCCTCTAAGATAAAGAAGAAGGCAAGGATAGCTGCTCTCACCACTTGTATTCAACATTGCACTGCAAGTCCTGGCCAGGACAATAAAGTAGGAAGAAAAAATTTTAAAATCCAGTTGGAAATAAAGAAATAAAATTCCTTATTCACAGATGACATAGTTCTGTATGTCAAAAATCCTAAGAAGTCTACAAAAATAGCCATTAGACTAATACGTGAGGTTAGCAAGATCACAGGATAAAAGGTTAATGTACAAAAAATCTATTGCATTCCTGTACACTAATAATTAACACTGGAAATGAAAGTAAAAAATGCAATTTACAATAGAATCCAAAAACATCAAGAAAATATGTGCAAGAACTATTCACTTAAAACTACAAAACATTCTTGAGAGAAATTAAAGCAGACCTAAATATATGGAGAGAGATTCCATTTTCATGAATCCAAAGACTCACTTTTTAGAATGTTAATTCTCTTCAGATTTGGCCTACATATTCCATGCATTTTCAATCAAAATCCCAGGAAGATTTTTGTTAAAATTCACAAGTTTATTCTACAATTTGAATGCAAATATATAGGCATACAGCAGCCAAATCAATTTTGATAAAGAAGAACAAAGCTGGGGGACTTACAATACCTTATTCCAAGACTTACTACAAGGCTACAGTAATAAGACAATGTGGTAATTGCATAATGTCACATAGATGAATAGATATATAGAAAAATAGAATAGAGAGCGCAGACAGAGACTCAAACATATATGTTCAACTGATTTTAACCATACTGAGCATTGGTGAAGATGTGGAGCAACTGGAACTCTCACACATTGCTGGTGGAAATGTACAATGGTACAAATGACAACAGTTAAACATACCCTTACCATACAAACCTGCAATTCCACCCTTTGATATTTAACCAAGACAAATGAAAACATAAGTCTACACAAAGACTTATGCTTATTACAATTTTATTCATAAGAAACAGAAAACAACCCAAATGACAATCACCAAGTGAATGTATAAACAAATTGTGGTACATCCATACAGTGGAATACTATTCAGCAATAAAAAGGAATGAACTATTGATACGTGTGTCATGGATGAGTCTCATAAACGTAATGTTAAATAAAAGAAGCCAGGCACACAAGTCAGTACTATATGATTCCACTTAATAAACTCAAGAAATAAAAAATCTAATCTATAGTAACTGAAAGCAGACTAGTCAGTCTTGGATTAGGAGTGAGATTGACTGGGAAGGGAGATGAGGAAATCTTTGGGTGATGAACATGTTCTATAATTTGTAGTGGTAGTTGGATGTGGATAAATTTGTTAAAAGACATTGAAACTTACACTTAAAATGGGTGCATTTGTTGTATAAAAATTAACCTCAATAAATTGAAAAATATTTTTTAAGAAAGACAAGTCTAAAATATAACAGAGGATGTAGCTCATCTTTGGGGACTTGGTGGTGGAAGAAATGAAGCAAGGGCAGGTGAGGATTAAAGGTAACATTGGGGTGAATCAGAAGGCTATTAGGTAAGTAGAATCCAGCTCTGGTGAGGAGCAGCAGAAGAGGAAGGAGGAGAAGGAGGAGAGGGCTTATGTAACCTAACGGGTGTCCGAGTGTGGCAAGTAACTCCTAGATTTTTCCTCTAACCTGTGTTTCTGGCCATGTTTTATTAAAACTTTTTTAAGTAACTTTCTTCAAACACGCCCAGGCAAAAATTACAAGAACAACTCCTCTCTCTAGGCTGAGTCATGGGGAGTGCCATTGTCCCAGTCATCCAGTGCTGCTCCAACAGAAATAACACAAGCGGGTGGCTTTCACAAAGAGAAGTTTATTCTCTCACAGTCCAGTAGGCTGCAAGTCCAAATTTGGGCATCAGCTCCAGGACAAAGCTTTTTCTCTCTCTATTGGCTCTGGAGGAAAGTCTTTGTAATGCATCAGTCTTCCCTTGGTCTGGTACCATCTCAGCGCAGGAATCTCAGGTCCAAAGGACGCACTTTGCTCCCAGCACTGCTTTCTTGGTGGTGTGATGTTCCCATGTGTCTCTGCTCCCTTCTTTCTTTTATATCTCAAAAGAGATTGGCTTAAGACACTATCCAATCTTGTATACTTCATCAGTATAACTGCCGCTAATCCATCTTATTAGATCATAGTGACTGAATTTACAACACATACGGAAATCACATCAGATTACAAAATGGTACACAATTATACAGTACTGGGACTCATGACCCAGCCAAGTTGACAGATATTTTTTGGAGACACAATTCAATCCATGACAGCCATATTTGGAGGCTGGAGAACAAGAGGTTAGAATGACAGGTGATATTAGCAGAGGTCAGACAATGTCAGAGATGGACAGATAAGTCTTCCAACACTTCATTTTATATGTGGTGAACCTGATGCCCAGAATGGCTGAGTGACTTGTTAAGGTCACACAGCAATATAAAAGCAGAGTTGGGATTTGAGACCAGGAACTCCTGACTCCTAGATTCTCTGGGGTGGAGAGAGTTGCACTGAGCCGGGACTGATGCACTGGGTACACAGTTGGTTGGAGTACCTCTAGGACACTACCAACTCTGATACTGTAAGACTCAAAAATGCCCCTACAGAGCTCATTCTGCCCACATAGGGCTTACAATCAAAGACAGGTGCTTTGAGTTAAATAACTTACGAGCTGGCACAAAGTATGTACTTGACAGATATCACATCAATCAATGTGGATTTTCTCTGCCCGGGAGGAGTGGAACAGGGTAGGGGCTAGTTACTCCTCCCCTAGAACCTCCGGAAAGGAACGCAGCCCTGCCAACACCCTGGTTTTAGCCCAGGGAGACCCCTGTGGGACTTCTGACCTATAGAGCTCATAAAACAGTAAATCTTATTCTTCACTTGTTTAAGCAGTTTGTTACAGCAGCTCCGGGGAGCTAATACAGTCCTGAAGCCCACGTCACTCTAGTCTCTTATCTCTGCATTCTCAGTGCCTCCTGCCTCCAGCTCTGCCTTGACTAGCCACCTGCCTGCCTGCCCAGGCTCCTGTTAGCAACACGCTCATGTCTACCATCACCTCCACTTCTCTCGGTTGCTATCACTAGCCCTATCCTGAAACCTAAGCTTCAGGTTCAGGTCTTACATAGAGATTTCCTGGCCAAGCTCTCCTAGCCTTGATGGGTTGTAAACTCAGAGCCCATCTGCACCATCTTCATTGTACAGTGTTTGCATGGTCTCCTCTTATCATGGTTCCTGTGTGTGGAGCTGGTGTGGGTGGGGTTGAATTGGGTGGCACCTATAAAGTCTGGACTTCTCTGAGATTAAGGACTGGGACTCAGTTTACTGAGGCCTGCTCCTTGGAGGGGGCCTCCACCATACTCACTTCAACTTCGTCTTCACTCTTATTTTCTCACTGGAGTCAGACAAGCCCCACATCCCGGTCTGTCTCTAAGGTGGGTCTACCAGGGGCCCTGCCTCCCTGGAGCAGATCTCTTCTCTTAAACTGACTGTTTTGACTTAACTTCTTTGAATAATACTTGGGAACCAGCAGACAAAGGGGGTGCTGTGGCCCAGAGCCTGTGTGCCCTGACTCCCCAGATCTCAGAAATCCTGGATCTGGAAGGGGACAGAATTTCCTCTTGGAAACTCTACATCCAGCCTTGGTTGTGTACCGAGCCTGCCAAGCCCAGTTCAGTTGGGAAATGTCTTCATTTTTTTCTCATGATCTCACTTCCCTTCCAAAGTCCTGGGATGGGGATGGCCAAGAGACAGGTCTTGTCAGGGAGCCCCTCCTAAGCCCAGCTGCCTATCCAGGTCTCTGTCCCTCTCGTCACTCAGATCTCTTGCACAAACACCACCTCCTCAGAGGGGAGGACTTGTCACTATTCTAAGGGGTGACACCAGCATCTCACAGGTCCCCAGAGGGCCCCTTCCTCTGCCGTCATTTCCATGGAGAACGGTCTCCCGGAGTCTAGTTCCCCTCCAGCCTGAGCTCAGCTCTAAACGCCTTGGTGAAGCCAAGGGCTGGAAGACAGGGCACGTAGGGAGATGGGAGCATCATCCTCTGGAGGGAAGGAGCAGAAGCTACACTCTCCCACCTGGTCTCCTGAAGGATTCCATGCCCACCTCCAGCCTGCAGCAATGCTGCTGTCCTGGACTTTGCAGAAGACAAGATGAGCCTGTCATCAGGAAACCAACATCTGCATCAGAGATGGTTTAGCTGTGCAGCCAAATGTCCAGCAACGCCTGCCCTCCCAGCTATGCAGGAAGCCCATCCACACCACCAGCTACAAGACCGGGACCAAGGGCAATGGACCACGCATTTCATATCACAGAGTGGGCTAGACAGGTGAGGTCTGCAGGCCTCAGGGTCCGAAAGCAGGTAGCCTAAGGAGAAGCCCCTGTGCCTGGAGGCTGCGGTGAGTGGCCTGACACCAGGCTTGAGCTTGAATTCATGAGCACTGGGGTAGACTTTCGACTTCCTGTCCAGGTTTAGTCAGTAGGATGGATGCAGGGATGCTGGGGACAAGGTCTGTCCTTTAAATTGGGATGCATTCCAGGGCAGCCATGACACAGTCTCACACTCTATAAGGATATAGCTACAACACTTCTACATACAAGTGAGTGTGTATTTTGCTTTTCCCACTCATGATAGTTTGCATTATAATGCTTATTTTCCTTGATGTCTCAAATCTTTTAGTGAAGTGAAATTCTAAGGAGCAGTAAAAATCTGTGGAACTATTCACACACACACACAAACACACACATGCAAGCACACCCTTCACACACACATTGACACTAAGGAAGTAGAGAGAAATGATCGGCCAAGAAGACTTGAGCGTCTGAAGCAGCCACAACAATGACAACAGCTGCTTGCTGAGCACTCAGTAAGTGCCATTCACTGCACTAAGTAGTTTACTTATCTAATCTCCACAATAGCCCAGGGAGCTAAGTCCTGTTGTGATCTTTATTTTATAGCTGAGTAAACTGAGGCTCAGAGAGGGTAAGTTACATGCTTATGGCCCATAGCCAGCAAATGTTAGAGGCAGAATTCAAACACAGGCCAAGGGCCTATCACTCATGCCCCAAACCAGTATGGCAGGGTGAGTGGAGTCAGGACTTGTGGGGAGACCAGGCAGCAGAGAAGCAGGGCCATCAGACAGAAGGCTATCTACCCCCAATGACCTCAGAGTCACTGGTCGAGCAGCAGCCTGGATCTTGGGGCTGGGCTCCATGACCTCCTGGCTTCTTTCAGCTCTTGGTCTTGCAAACACATACCAAAGGGTCGCCTAAATGAAGCTCACTTATTGATTCTCTATCCTGCTTTCCACCCATTTCATGATCACAACTGTGGAAACGTGAGGGAAGGTCCTCCACAGAGAGACGGCTCAGAAAGACCTGCAGGGACCCTTTAGGAGGGGCCTGGTGCACAGCTTCTGTGCCATGACACAGACCCTCAGCACCCACCTACACCTGGGGTCTTCTGGTTGACCTCTGCTAATCCTGTCTCATTCTTTCCCTGTTTTCCTTCCCTCCCTATCTCAGTCCCTCACTCTCCCATCTCTGGTCCTCCTCTGCGTCTTCCCTCTGTTTCTCTTTTGCCTCCTTCTTGCTTTCTCCCTAGATGTCTATGTCTGCTGTGTACAGTCTTTCTTAACCTGGTCTTCTCTCTCTCTCTCTCTCCTTATCAATGGCTTTCTACATCTCCCACGTCTCTGTCTCGCTCACTCTGTTTCTCCATGATCCTCATATTCTCATTTTGCTGTCTGTGTTTCTCTGTGTTTCTCTGTTGGTAGCTGGCTGCCTACTTGCCTTTCTCTCCCTGTGTCTCTGTCTCCATCTACACCTGCTTCATGGTCAGTAGTTCTCTGTCCCTCACTGAGTCTCTGTCTCTGGTTTCCTTTCCATGAAGACACCAACCCTTGGTCATGGCCAACCTGAGTTCATCCTCGTGGGCTTCTCCTCTTTCAGTGAGCTTCAGGCTCTGCTGTAGGGGCCCTTTCTCATGCTCTATCTTTTGGCCTTCACGGGAAACACCATCATCATCATCATGGTCATGGCTGACACCCACTTCCATACACCCATGTACTTCTTCCTAGGCAACTTCTCCCTGCTGGGGATCCTGGTGACCATGACAGCGGTACCCAGGATGCTTTCAGATCTGCTGGCCTCCTGCAAGGCCATCTCCTTCTTGGGCTGCATGGTCCAGTTCTACTTCTACTTCTCCCTGGGCTCCACCTCCTTCCTCATCCTGGCTGACATGGCCCTTGACCACTTCATGGCCATCTGCCACCCCCTACGCTATGGCACGCTGATGCGCTGGGCAGTTTGTGTCTGGCTGGCAGGGGCAGCTTGGGCAGCTCCCTTCCTATCCATGGTGCCCACTGTCCTCTCCCAGGCTCTTCTCAGTTACTGCCATGGCAACGTCATCAACCACTTCTGTGACAACGCCCCTCTGCTGCAGCTAGCCTGTGCAGACACCAGCCTGCTGGAATTCTGGGACTTTGTGATGGCTCTAACCTTTGTCCTCAGCTCCTTCCTGGTGACCCTCATCTCCTATGGCTACATCGTGAGCACCGTGCTGAGGATCCCCTCCACCAGTGGCCGCCAGAAGACCTTTTCCACGTGTGGGTCCCACCTCACCCTGGTTTTCATTGGCTACAGCAGCACCATCTTCCTGTATGTCCAGCCAGGCAAAGCACACTCTGTGGAAGCCAACAAGATGGTTGCCCTGGTAACATCTGTCCTGACCCTCTTCCTCAACCCCTTCATTCTTACCTTCCACAATGACACAGTCAAGGCCATTCTACGGGGACAGCTGCAGAGGCTTAAGGGCTTTCACAGGCAGCGTAAGCCCGGGGAGGTGCCTGGAGGGCTCAGGCTGTTCTACAGGGACAGCTGTGGAGGCTGAAGGGCCCTCAAAAGACAGTATGAACTCAGGGGCCTGGCAGGCTCAGGCAAGGGGTTCCAGGAGGATACCGCACCCCAGGTGGAATGGGAAAACCACTGTCATGGCTCTTTAGGTTTTTTCTTTCATGCCTCTCTGCGATAGATGCAGGGAATCTCCGTGCTACCTTGGTGGCTCTCACAGACAATCGAGGAAGCGCTCCCCTCTTCTGCTGGCAGTTACAAGGACTCCGAGAGTAGCCAGGGCCTGGGCACCAGGAGTGGGCTTTCAGCAAAGCAGAAGTGCATGGGCTTCAAGGAGAAGCAACAGGAAGTGTTCTCTGATGGAGACGTTATTCAGCCCCAGTGTAGGGTGGGGTGTTTGTGTGTGCATGATGTTTGTGTGTGGTGTGTGTGTGGTGTCTGTGTGTGGTATGTGTGTTTGTATACAGTGTGTGCAGTGTGTAGTGTGTATGGGTACAGCACGTGTGCATGGTGTGTATTCATATGTGCGTGGTGTGTGTGTGTATGTGGCGATTCTGTATGTTGTGTGTGTGGTACATGTGTGTGGTAGCTGTGTATGTGTCTTCATGTATGTGGTGTGTGTGTATGTGTATAGTGTGTGTGCAGTGTGTGGGTGTGTGTATGTGTGCGGTGTGTGTATGTGTGCGGTGTGTGTATGTGTGTGGGTATGTATGTGGTGTGTGTATGTGTATGTATGTTTGTATATGTGGGAGGTATGTATGTGGTGTGTGCAGTGTGTGTGGTACGTGTATGTGTGTGTGTGGTGTCTTTGTATGTATTGTGTGTGTGTATGTGTGGTGAGTAATGTGTGCATATGGGTGGGGGATGTGCATGTGGTGTGTGTGTGGTATATGCAGTATGTGATGTGTGTGTGGTGTGTGTTCACGGTGTGTATTCATGGCGTGCTTCTCCACTTCAGTGTGGGTCTTACTGCTGAGTGCTCGCACCATGAGTAACTGGGCTACGTGGGATTAAGTTGCGGAACAACACTTTCCAAAACAAAGTGATTGCTCTTCAGTGTATGTGGAGTTCAGCGTACAATCAGTCATTTACTCACATACTCATTCCAGCACCGAGTGGGTTCCCTGTGCGCCAGAACAGGTACAGGCATGACGTCCTTCCCCTCAGGAAGCTCTTAGCCTAGTGAATGGAACGGGAGATAAGGAGCTAGTCACAGCACAGCGGTGGAGCGCGTGAGGGAGCACGGAAGTTTTATGAGATCAGAGAAGGGGACACCAAGACCAGCCTAGGGGTGGGGGGCAGCTTCCTGATGAGGTGACGCCTGAGTAACACGGTGAATGTAAGGTGGACATTGTAAGAGTGTAATTGAGCAGTTAGCCTTGAGTCTGAGACAAACTCAGAGAAAACTCAACTCAGGTTAAAACCACATATATCTCCACTGGCAGAAAAAAATCAAAGAAAAAAAAAATATTCCAGGAATGATCTTTGTTCCAGGAAGGAAAAATTCCTAGAGACTTTTAAAAGGTAAAATAAATCTTCTCTCCTTATGGCTAGAGACTGTCATCTGTCTGACGGCCAGGGATTGTAGTAAATCTAGTAGTACTTTTGATTAGCCATTCTTAACGTATGCCATGTTCCCTTTGGATTGAAGCCTCAGCTCCACTGCCCTCCCCCACACCCCCAGCTCTAGCCTGAAACTTACTGGGACCACAGGATCATGGTGTTGTCTTAGCTTTAACCTATTCTGAGTTTTCTAAAACAGCCCCAATTTAAAATATTCTGTCACATCTTTTCTGTAAATACACTCTAATTTATCAAGCCACGGTTCCCAGCTTGTGGGAAATAAACGAAAAAGGCTGCACCGCCATCAAGCGTGCACTCCTTGCCTCACTGCCTTGAAGACAACCCAAACCACTAACTTCCTACTAATGTCCAACTTATAAAAAGCCCGCTCTGTGGATGTGAACAAGGAGATGCTGGTGGCTCCATTTGGGAGATGCTAGTTCAGCAACCCGTTGGTTCTCCTTGTGTACCTCCTTGTGATTATGAACTTTCTGTGTCTTCCCAGCCAACTGCCTACCCCAGGTCCCCTTTCTCCAGCTTTCTGGAGAGTTCATTTCTTTCTTTCTGAGATGCCACTCACTCGCATCTGAGGGTCTCTATGGATGCCTAGTTTAGGCTTCTAGACTAAAATCTTGCTTTTCTTCCAATTACAGATCAGAGCAAGGAGTCTGGAGTCTCCTCTTTTTCCCTCTAATTGTCCTCTGCTCAGCTCCTTCACTCATAAAAAGCTGTTGCCGTTGAGTCCATTCCAACTCATAGGGCAGACTAGAACTGCCTCATAGGGTTTCCAAGGAGTGGCTGGTGGATTCGAACTGCCGATCTTTTGGTCAGGAGCCATAGCTCTTAACCACTGACCCACCTTGAAGAGTCAATATTTGTAGAATAAATGAAAGGATGATAAATCTGTTCACATTTAATGAACCACTTTTACATACATTTTCCACTTGGTTTTATTGTCATAGTAATTCCATTAAGTAAAAATTCAATGACCCTTGACCGTGAGCAGTGCACTGTGGTCATTCAAGATGAAAGAAATGTGGTGGTTTCTAACCTTGAGGGCTTCCCATTTCATGGGAGAGAGGAAAAAGTACAATTAATTTCATTAAGTTTTGATAAGGCACTTTTCTGCTATGACAGAACGTCATGGAAACTATTGGTCTTGGACCTCTAGCTGCTGTACTGGGCTAGGGAACCTCAGCTCCAGGGAAAGTGAGCTGGTCAAAGTGACGGCAGGACGGACACTGGAATCTGGGTCTTCAGATTCTTCACCATCTTTCCATCCTCGGAATGTCTTCCTCCATCTGGATCAACAGTTGGATTAATTACAGTTGGAATCCCCTAGATCGAAGTTTCCTGTAGCCACCTGCTTAGTGTGTCTCCATCAAGTTCTCCTCAAGTTCATACACTTACAATGGAAATAATTCTAGTAACCCTTTCCTAACAGTGATTGCATGTTTTCTATCCATCACTTGAAAAAAATACATACTGGCAGAAAGCAATTATGGATTCGGTGTCACTTTCAAGGGTTTGTATATCATTTATTTTTATGCATTTTTCTTTATCACAATAGTATCCACAAACATTTGAAAGATAGCAAACTACACTTACGTGTACAATAAATATTTATTCAGTTCATAGACCGTGTTAATTGCTTGGGTTGGGGGGTTCGCAGTGCCTTCTCTTTGAAACCATTTCTACCAGGAGATGGGAACAGTGGATCTGCTGGTTTGTCTACATGAGGTCATTTGAGGTGGTTGTGCAGAAGGCAGTAGCCTTCCCACTGCACAGGAGTGGCTACGCTGGAATATGACTGCATGATGGTGCATGAGGGCCAGGCTGGTTCTAATGCCCGGAACTCTTTTAAACACTGGCAGACCAGTGCTGGGATTCATGTGTCTAAATTGTCTGCCCTGCCTTGAAATACCTTCCCCACCCACCCACCCTCCATTCCTCTGACATTGTAACCCCATACAGATGGTGTTCTAGCAGCAACTGTCAGAAATACAGGGTTTTGGAGGGCAACCCGAAAGTCCACTGTCATACATGTAACTCTCAGTGGGAAGCCGAAGAGTAGATTTATTTCTTCTAGTTGGGAGGACTATTGCTATTATTGTTAGGTGTACATAGTGACCCTATGTACAATAGAACGAAACATTGCCCGGTACTGCGCCATCCTCACAATTGCTGTGCCTGAGCCCATTGTTGCAACCACTGCGTCAATCTGCCTCATTAAGGGTCTTGCTCTCTTTTACTGACCCTCTACTTTACCAAGTATGATGTTCTCTCCAGTGATTGGTCCGTCCTGATAGCAAGTCCAAAGTAAGCAAAATGAAGTCTCTCCATTCGCGCTTCTAAAGAGCATTCTGGCTGTATTTCTTCCAAGACAGATTTGTCATTCTTATGGCAGTCCATGGTATATTCAATATTCTTCACCAACACTATAATTCAAAGGCATCAATTCTTTTTTGGTCTTCCTTATTCATTGTCCAGCTTTCGCATGCATATGAGTGATAGAAAATGCCATGGCTTGGGTCAGGCTCACCTTAGTCCTCAAAGTGATATATTTGCTTTTTAACACTTTAAAGAGGTCTTTTGCAGCAGATTTGCCTAATGCAATGCATTGTTTGATTTCTTAACCCCTGTTTCCATGGGTGTTGATTGTGGATCCAAGTAAAATGAAATCCTTGAAGACTCCAATATTTTCAGCTTGTATCATGATTTTGCTTATTGGTGCAGTTGGGAGAGCTAAACCAAAAAAAGAAAAAACAAAACCCATTGCCATCAAGTCGATTCCCACTCATAGCAATCCTATAGGACAGAGCAGAACTGCCCCGGAGGGTTTCTAAGAAGTAGCTGGTGGATTTGAACTGTTGACCTTTAGGTTAGCGGCCGAGTTCTTAACCACTGCACCACCAGGGAGGACTAGGGAGCAAGAAATTAAAGATGTGGAGGCTTTGATGGGGAAAGATGAAGAAATAAAGCCATCTTTTAAATGAAGGTCAGGCCTGGGTCCTGTGTGGCCGCTAGTAGCATGGAGGCCCTGCCTACATGGGTTTGGGATGTTGGTGAGCTGGAAATACTCTCAGGAAAAGTTGGAAATTTCCAGTGTTCTGTGTAGGAGACCATGTTCGTATTAACCCAGCTGACTGATTTTTTGAGCATTCAATTTCCAGATGTAAATAAGGTTCTTGCAACACACCTGCTGGCTACTGAGGAAAGGTGACAGCGGCCCCGTGGTTTGCTGGTCAGTGTTTAACCATCATGACCAGTTTCTAGCTACCAATATGGCATCACTGAACTTGCAGGTGGGAAGAGACGCTCAGCAGCTCACCTTCATGCAGAGCTTCCCCCATGCTGATACAAGTGACACAGATAGCCTCCACAGCAGAGATGAAAGTAAAATAGCTTGGAGTTTGGAGTTTTTATTATCTTTTTTTTAACGCAATTTATTTGCTTGTGTAAGTTTCTATTATTTAATTTTTAATAAAGGCTATGTTGTGTTAAATTCCTGAAATTTTAACAGTCAGTTCTGAAGAGGGCCCCAGAACGTCACTGTTGCATTCTGCCTCTGGGCTTCCCCACAGATCCTGTTTGCCTTCAAGGAAGCATCTTTGTCATTCTCTCTCCCTTGAGTTAGACGGTGTCTGGTCCTATGGAAGCCACCTCATGACATTGCCTGTGTAATGGAACTTTTCTTAAGCTCCTTCTAAATTCACTTATGTCACTTGCAACATTAAAGGCAAATTGCAGCACTAGAGGTAAGTGACCTCTATTCTGAATGCAGTATAACTGCAATAGGATGCAAAGCAGGTCCCTGACTGGCTCATACAATTTGCACTTAACTACCAACTGAAAAGTTGGAGATTCAAACCCACCTAGAAGTGCCTTGGAACTAAGTCCTGGTGATCTGCTTTCATAAGATCACAGACATTGAGAACCCTGTGGAGCACAGTTCTACCCTGACACACATGGGATCGCCATGAGTCAGAGTCCACTCGATGGCAATGGGTAGGCTGCAAAGGATCCTACGTCAGAGCCCCTTCACCCACTTTGAAGTTGACTGTATTCGTGTGTCCTGTTATGTCTGTGAGGGGGTATCTTTCACAGGACGCTTTCAAGTCCCCTGAGGGACTCTGAACTGATTAGTGAAGACACCCACGGCCACTCTCCAGAGAGCCCATTGTCCTATTTTGTGGGCCGTGGTTGCTATACAATCTGCTGCTTTACGTCTACATCATTTTACTCATTCCACGGCCCCCTCTGGAGCTCACCTTTTTTCATCTCAGCCTGGAAATCTCATCTTCGTACTTCAAAGTCCAACACAAATGCCATCATCTTTGAGAAGACCTTTGGCTTAACTAACCAAAGAGAATTAGGCTCCTCCGCGCTCCCAGACCGATTTGCGTACCATAGTAACTGACACACGGTTTTGTGTTCCCACGCTGAATTCTGAGCTCCTCAAAGTAGGCCGTGCCTTGTATACCTTTGCATCTCCTGTGCCTAGACCACAGTACGATACATGTTAGCTGTCTTTAGTAACGAGGTGTGTTGGTGAATTTCGAATATGAGCGAACACTCTAACTTAGCAAATAAAAACATGGGATACCAGCTTAGCTGATGGTAACAGAAGTGCAGTCCACAAAGCAAAGGAAGAGGGTGTCTTGCTGCACTCTGCCTCAGTTGGTTGTCTAAACTAGTATGGCAACCAGCTCCAACCAACCAGTTGCCATCGAGTCAGCACCGACTCATGGTGCCCCCACGTGTGTCAGAGTAGAACCGTGTTCCAGAGGGTTTCAATGGCTGATTTTTCTAAAGTAAATCGCAAGCGCTTTCTTCTGAGACACCTGTGGGTAGACTCAAACCTCCAACCTTTTGGTTAGCAGCCCAGTGGGTTAAACGTGAGTCACCCAGAGAATGCAAGAACAGCAAATGCCTCCTCAAATTCCCTCTTCGGGTGCCCTTCCCACTGTCGAGATTGGGAAGAGGGCTTTCCTACACAATTGCCTGACAGAAAATTCCATCAGCTTCTCTACATAATGTGCATATGGATCACTTGAGGGCCTGTTAAATGCAGATTCTGATAGTGGGTCTGGGGCAGGGCCTGAGAGCCTGCGTTCCTAAGGACCTCCCAGGGGATGCTGCTCACCCAGTTTAATTTGTAAGAGGGGGATGTGCAGAGATGCATGGTCCAGGAAGGGGCTTCTCAGGAGGACGTCTGTGTGAATTTGTGAGTTGATTATCTCAGGACAGGCGCTGAAGGGAAGTTTGCATACCAGGAGGAGATAATTGCTCCCACTTAGTTCTCCAGTTTTTCACTAAGTTTGCAGGGAGGGTAAGTAATTGGGCCCTGGGGAGGTGGAGGAGAGAAAGCTCTCAAAGTGATAAACTATTTTCCCTCCTGGCCTTGGCTACTGGCTTGAAAGTCTCTCCTCTCTTTGGGGGAAGAGGTCCACGAGTGGGAAAATGGCCTGTGGTCAGTAGTTTAAAATAGCAGCATAATTAAGAGATTGGTGCCCCCAGGCCTGCACTCGGGGTCCTCCCCGGCAGGGGAAGGGGTACCCACACTGCACTGTCCACACACTGCTCCCTAGATGCCCTGTGAACAGAGTGGACCCAGAAGTGGGAGGGAGTGTGCATCTATTCTTTACCCGGCGCTGCTAATCCTGCCTGCTTCCCACACCCAGGGGTGTAAGAAATCAGACCTGAGCCGTTCCTGCCCCCGTCTCGCCCTGAGCCGTTCCTGCCCCCGTCTCGCCCTGAGCTGTTCCTGCCCCCTCTCGCCCTGACTTCCTGGGCTATCCACCGACTTCCAGCCCTGACTCAGGCCGCCCATCTGCTGTGAATCCCTCTTTACCCTGGTGTGTCATCTCTACCTTACCCCCAGGGCCTTGAGACTCTGGAGACCCTGGCCACCTGCTTCCAGGGCACCCCCCTCAGAAGGCACTCGTCCTGCCCTGGGACCTGCACCTACAGCCTGAGGAGGGCAACATATCAGGGACTGAGCTGTCCCCCCTCCTTCCTGAGTTTGCCAAAAGGGTAAACCCTGACTGGGACCCTTGTGACCTTTCTGTGTGAAGGGCTGGGAGACAAACCCCCAGGGAGCCATTTCTGTTTAGAAGCAGGAGGTTTGGGGGCTGGGAGGGAGAGAGGGCACCATGGGTATGCGGGTGCTGCTCCCAGGGACTTCCCAGAGAGGGGAGCCCACCGGAGGCCCACTGCATCTGAGCTGGGGCCTCCCACCCCTCCTGGAGACCCTTTGGTCTTCAGAACCTATCCTAGGCCTGCAGCTGGGTGCATAGAAAGGAGCACACCTGAGAGAAGAGTGACAAAGAAGTCAGGTGGGAGAAGCTTTAATCACACCTTTCAATAACAGCCAGGGTTCCCAGCTCTTGCACGGGGCCACGCCTCTGCACTGAGAGTCTGGATTATCCCATGTCATCCAGACCCTGCGATGTTTCCACATCACAGCTCCCTCGAAGCCATCCACCCCTAACTACCAGGCTCAGATGCTGGTAGACATTCAGATGTTGTTCTCGAGCTCATTCCAGAATTACCCAGGGACACAAAGGGTGGTAGTGCAGGGGCAGAGACTTGCATGGGGGTGGGGAGCAGGGGAAGAGAAGAAGGTGTCTGAGTGGTCCACCTGGGCACCTGGCTCCCACCTGGCAGAGACTCCTCACTCCTGTGACATGCAAGGTGTCCCTGGCCCTCTCAACTCTGGCCTGCCAGGCTTCCAACGAGGACCCTTTTGGCCGTATCTCTGATGACCTCCTTGACCTTCTCGTTCTGGAAGGTGAAGATGAAGAGGTTGGGGAAAGGGGTCACCACTGCCATCATCAGGGTCACCACCCTATTGAGGTGTGTGGCGTGGCCTTTGCCTGGCCGCACGTAGATGAAGATGGTGCTGCCATAGCCCAGCACCACCATGGTGAGGCGGGAGGTGCAGGTGGAAAAGGCCTTCTGGCGCCCCATGGCAGAGGGGATGCGCAGCACCGCAGCCACAATGAGGGCATAGGGGGCCAGGATGAGCAGCACAGTGGCCAGCACGAAGAGCAGTGACAGGAACAAGTCCATGCGCTCGATGTGGCGGGTGTCGGAGCAGGACAGCTGGAGCAGCGGGGCAGAGTCACAGAAGTAGTGGTCGATGACGTTCGGGCCACAGAACCAGAGCTGTGTCTTCTACAGGGTCGGGGAGATGATGGAGAGGAAGCCCACCACCCAGCAGGCCACCACCAGCTTCACGCAGACTGGGCGACTCATGATGGTGGGGTAGTGCAGGGGGTGGCAGATGGCCACGTAGAGGTTGAAGGCCACGACCGTGAGGATCAGGAAGTTGGTGGAGCCCAGGGAGAAGTAGAAGAAGTACTGGGTCAGGCACTCAGCCAGCGACATGGTCTTGCTCGTGGACAGCAGGTCTGCCAGCATCCTGGGCACCACCATGGAGATGACCAGAACCTCCATGAGCGAGAAATTGCAGAGGAAGAAGTACATGGGCGAGTGAAGGCGGGAGTCCAGGCAGGTGAGGGTGACGATGGCCAGGTTCCCCAGCACCGTCAGCATGTAGATCAGCAGGATGAAGGCAAACAGGACCACCTGGAACTCATGGAGATGAGAGAAGCCCAGCAGCATGAAGTCCCTGAGGACGCTGTGGTTGCTCATTGCATTCAACGCCAGCTCTCTGTGCCACCTGTGAGATGAGAACTTAGTGGGACATGGTACCCACCTCTCTCTTGGCTGTGCTCCTGGCAGCTGGCCTGGCTCCCCAGCAGACAGGTCCGAGCACACAGCTAATCCCAGCATCCAGAAGACACATCCCAAAAGACAGAGTGTCGGTGGGGCAAGAACAGACTGACTGTGATGAACAAGTGTAGGGGATGGCCACCTCCTCCCTGTCACCACCACTAAACCCTTTCTCTTCTGCCGTAGAGTTGACCCCAACGCCTGGCGGACCTATGTGTGTCAGAGTAGAACTGTGCTCCATAGGGATTTTTCTTTCTTTTTTAAATAATATTTTATTGTGTTTTTGGTGAAGGTTTACACAGCAGTTTAGGTCCCCATTCACCAATTTCCACACAAGTTGTTCAGTAACATTGGTTACATTCTTCACAATGCATGAACATTCTCATTATTTCCGTTCTGGTTGTTCTGTTTCCCTTCATCTAGTTTCCCTGCTCTCTTACATTCTCGTCTTGTTTTAAAGCAATTGTTGACTGTTTGGTTCTATAGCATTTTCAATGGCTACGTTTTTGGAAGTAGACTGCTAGGCTTTTCTTCCAAGTCACCTCTGGGTGGATTTGAATTTCCAACCTTTCAGTTAGCAGCCAAGCTACCCAGGGACCATTTATTTCACTCAACGTGCATTTATTAAGCTCCAACTCTGTGCAAGACATGTTGCTGGGACAAGGGATCAAGTGGCCAACCTCCCCCCAACTGCCAAACGTAATGGTGTATAATTACAATATGACAGCCACTTTTTACCGAGTTCTTTCCACAGGCCAGGAACTGTGCAGGGTACCTTGATCATTACTTTGTTCATCCTCTGGCCTCAGCCCTCCTTTTCCTCCTCCTTGGTTTCTCTGGGACATTTCAGCTGTGACTGAAACCCCCACACCGCCGACTGCGAGGATCTCTCTGCGTTCTCCTGTGGTTCTGACTTCCCCGCCTGCCTCCTTCTCAGGCTCCCGGTCTTTTTGCCATTTCCTAAACGTGACGGTCCCCACATTTCTGCGCCCATCCGTCTTTCATCGCTCCATTCTTTCCTTCAGAAATCTCACCTTCTCCCTTAGCCAAAGGCACCTTGACCACTTGAACACCCCTCAGATCCGGATCTGCGTCCTCCTCTGAGTTCCAGTCCACATTTCTAACTGACTACCGGGCACGGCCGCATGATCAACCTGCCAAAAATACCCACCGCCCTGCCCCCCAAAGCCAATATCACGTCCGAGCCACGCCAGCCCCCCAGCAGCTGGCCTGAAACCCTGACTGCATTTCTGACTTGGTCTCCTCTCCTCTAAGTCACTGTGATTGCCTTCTTAGGAACATTTCCATCCCGCCCCTGTAGTGCGGCTGCCGTGTGCCGTCGACTCGATTCCCATGCACAGCGACTCTATAGGACGGAGTAGAACTGCCCCGCGGGGTTTCCAAGGCTGTAATCTTTATGGGTGCAGATCGCCAGCTCTTTTCTCCTATGAAGCAGCTGGTGGGTTTGAATCACTGACCTTTCAGGTAGCAGCAGAGCACTTAACCACTGCGCCACCTAGGGCTCCTTTGAACCACCCTCGTCCCAGGATTTATTTCCTCTTATCTTAGGCATCGTCATAATACTCCCATGGTGTTCTTATCTGTAGGATCCCCTGTCTCCAGCCTATCCGTACACTGCCGTTATATTTCTTTTTCTAAATTTTTATGTCAACTGGCTGCTTTCAGTAGCCAGAGGCAATGTGATTTCAAGGACACATTTCTCTCAAAATCAGTTCATCAAACTAGCTGGCGGCCCACCTTCATACAGAGAAAGACCTGAGACGCATTTTAGAATGTGAACAGTGGCTACCTCTGGCTGCAGGTTACAGGCACTGAACTGTCCTCCTGGGTGGATTTTGTTTGTGTTCCAGATTTTCTTCATCTGAACATGTATTACTTCAGTGACTTGAAAACATTAAAAATTAAAACCTCTATTTCTTCCCTTGTCTGCCAAATTAAATACAAACTCCTCCCGGCGACCCCTACCTTCCACAGCCCAGCCCTCTATCCAGTCTCACCCTTCCCCCGCTACTCCTTTCTACCCATTTTGTGAGCCACCTAGCTGGGCCACTTGCTGTTCTCCAAGTACCTTGCGTTCACCCCACCTCCATCCTTGTCCTTACCTGTCCGTTCCTATGCTGGAGGCACCTTGTCCTGCTGTCTTTGCAAGACGAGTTCCTGCCAGCCCCCAAGGGTCATCTCCAATGCCCCATCCTCATGATGCTCCATGCCCTTCTGGATGTGAACGAGGGAAATAGCCTGCTCGGTTTCCGGGGTGTCCCCCAGATCTGCTTCTGGGGTGTCCCCCAGCTCTGCATGCAGAAGTGTCTCAAAGCAGCCTCTCCCACCCAAGACCCCATTTCTCAGTCCAGGGCTCTTCTCCTCTTTGGGGCCCTGGTGACACCTGGCACATGACTCCCCAGGGCAGTGCTCCATCAAGCTGGTCACCCCCTGGGCTGTCACTCCTGCACCCAAAAGAGCAGCTTTGTGGGAGGCAAATCTGTACTTCCTTGTTGGAACATGCGTGCGCTGAGGGCTTTAACGGAATCAACAGGGCCATCACCGCCCGACAGTTTCTGATCAGAAAAAGAGGATGCGCCCAGGTGTGTGGTTCAGAATCCAGTCCCAGGAGCGTCTGGGCAGCAACCTGTAATCAAACCCACTGCTATCTCTGCAGCCAAACACATGAATATTCATACTAAATGGAATAAATAAAGGCTACATAAAGGTGTTGCAAACATTTGTGCTCGACCGCTAACCTAAAGGTCGGCAGTTCAAACTCACCCAGTGGCACCACAGGAGAAAGGCCTGGCAATCTCTTCCCATAAAGATTACAGCCAAGTAAACCCTATGGAGCACAGTTCTACTCTGTAACACGGGGGCCTGCCACCAGTTGGAATCGACTCCACGGCAATGGGCTTGGTTTTGGTATATTTAGCCGCCAGTTGCCATCAAGTCAATTTTGGCTCATGGCGCCCCCGTGTGTGTCAGAGTAGAACTGCGCTCCACAGGATTTTCAATGGCTGATTTTTCAGAAGTAGATGGCCAGGCCTTTCTTCTGAGGTGCCTTTGGGTAGACTCAAACCACCAACTTTTTGGTTAGCAGCTGAGGCATGTTAATCACTTGTAAATCCAGAGGTGCCCCAGAAGCAAGGCCAGGTGATCTACTTCAGGAAAATCAGCCATCGAAAACCCTGTGGAGCAGTTCTACTCTGACACACATGGGGTCACCTTGAGTCAGAGCCGGCTCGACGGCACCTGGTTTTATAGACAGCCTCACCTTCATTAGTTCAAGTCAGGCTTAGCTGCCAAGTTAGCATGGCACAAATTTAGGAAAGCACTTCTGTTTTCGAAGCATGTTTGATTCCTGACTGTGGCTCAAGGCTATGAATGGGCAGCCTCTCTCATCGAGGGCCCACTTGTCCCTGCGCTGCAACCCCACTGTGAAATCGTTTTCACCCCCACCTCCCAGGAGACGGGAGCTGTGGCTCAGAGGCGTAGACCCTCAGTCCAGAGTCAGATGGTTAGTCAGTGATGCCAGAGCCTAGAGTTTTTTAACTCCAGAATCTATTCATTTAAAGAAATCAAAGCCCCAAAGCCATGGAGTCTGCAAACTTTTCAATCAAACATGCTGCCACATCTCTGGATGCAGATATGCAAGCAGCGACGGTATTTAGAAATGGTACATGGTTAAAGAGTCCGTTCCCGTGAGCAGCTGCTGTGGAGGGCCCGGGACAGTGTCTGCCCTGGCAGGAAGGACCCAGCCGGATCTCTAGAGCCAGCCCTCTCCCTCTCCTTGGAGCCCACGCAGGCAGGCGGCAGGGGGCTCCTGCCCCTCCTGTCACTTCCCTGTGACACAGCGGGTGGACCTGTGTCGCCTCCAGCAGGTGTGCATCCTGAGCGTGCATGGGGACTGCAGCCGCGGCCTGTTGGTGTTTCTCCAGCACCCCGCACCTGACAGCAATGCCCTCTTACCTGGCAGGCACCTGTGGCGTCCTTTCCTGAGGGGCTACGATCTGGGGCCCTGAGGACCGAGAACGAGAGGCCAGAGGGGTCATTCAGAGACTTTGTCCACTGGGCACGGCCACTTGCTGCCCGACACAAAGGTCAAGCTGCCCAGGCCCCATTATAGCAGGCTCCGTCCAGCCCTCGCCCAGCCGCCCTGCCCTCCTCACCCAGCCGCCCTGCCCTCCTCTCCCAGCCTCGCCCAGGCCCCATTATAATAGCCACACCCAGCCCCTCTCCCAGCCCCTCACCCAGACCCTCACTCAGCCCCTCTCCCAGCCCCTCACCCAGCCTCTCTCCCAGCCCCTCACCCAGCTCCTCTCCCAGCCCCTCTCCCAGCCCCTCACCCAGCCCCTCACCCAGCCCCTCACCTAGGCGCCCAGCCCTCCTCTCCCAGCCTCACCCAGGCCCCATTATCCCAGCCTTGTCCATCCCTCACTCAGCTCCTTGCCCAATCCCTCATCCAGCCCCTCCCCTGACCCCTCACCCGACCCCTCCCGCAGCCCCCTCACATCTCACCCTTGCACTCTGCTTGTCCTGCTCAAGATCGTGCCCCCTCAGGTTCATAGCAGGTGTCCCCTCTTCGCCCAGATTCAGGCCGGCCCCTTCTTGCTGTTTCCAGGATGGGGACAGCTTCTCTCCCAGTCACTCAGTGGCCTGGAACCTCCTCGACAGAGAACGCGCTCAGAGGATATGCCAGGACCTCTGTACTTGTTGAATCGTTTTATATTCCAAGTTTTTATTTATGAAACTGAGTGTGAGGTTTAACGTGAATGTGAAATTAGCTTTCCTCTGCGTGGGGTATTCTACAGAACGGGTTTCCCAGTGTGTCCCTGGGGGCCCTGGGGCAACCCCTCCCATGCTATAGGATCTGAGCAAAGCCTGGCTCCTGCCCGGAGCCCTGCCTCCTGGGACACAGGCAAACGCCACTTTCCAGGTCCAGAGACAGTGAGGCGTCCTGCCAAACCAGCCGAGCACAGCCTGGGCCATTGCAGAGCAGTCAGGACTGTGCCCGCCCCGAGTACACACTGACAGGGCCACCCCACATGGACAGT